TCCCTTACATCTCATTAATTTGTTCAACATGTTTGCTATGCTATGTGCCAGGCACAGTTCTCATGTTGAATTGAAACAGAGTAACTGCTGCTTTTGCGGAGCTAGTGAGAGGATTCAGATAATAAATAAACAAACACAAAAAGCTCTAGTTCTCACTTCACACTGGGGCTAGGCTACATGGAGTCTTTGTTGGAAAACCTTCCATCAGCCCTTGCAGCAGTCTGATGTAGTCTTGGTAACAATATGTAGGCTAGATTTAAACTCTTCTGGTCCCCTGGCTGATATAGACCTGCACCTCATTCCACTCCCTCTTCTGCAGCTTTCTTGGAAGAGAAGCTTGTGATTGCCCTATTTTTCACCCATAGCAATCTGCCCCAGTTCCCACCATATGAACTCCAAGCTAAGACCTGTGGGCTTTGATTCTTAATCATATAACCTTGGGCCTGAGACATAACTGCCTATTTCTCTATTTTCTGTCTTCTAGTTTACCTCTTATTTCTCTAGTGCTCTTTCTGACATCAGCCCTCTTCTCTTCTCACTTCTGTTTCCAAGGAACCATCCATCTGTCCCTCCAGCTTCAGCCACTTCTCCACTGTTGGAACCATTTTGTATTCGGATCTCCACTCCCACATTCCTAAGATCTGGTGTCTTGGGCTCTGACCAGTACACAGATACAGAACTTCGTGATTAGAGGGGGTCACGGCCTTGAAATTTTAAGTTATTGCATCACCATCATGAAATTAATAATTTTTTTTTTAAATTTTGGACTGGTGTTCTACAAATTTGTAAGCCTGCTTGACCTGCCATAAAACACCCCATACCAGGTGGCTTAAACACAAAAAATTATTTCTCACAGTTCATAAACTGGAAATCCTGATCAAGGTGCCAGCAGGGTTGGTTTCTGTTAAGAGTTATAAGGGAATGCTCTGCTCCAGGCCTCCCTCCTGGGCCTGCAGATGGCCGCCCATTCATATGGTGATCCATCTGTGCTCTTGTGCCCCTGGTGTTCCTCTATGTATTAGTCCTTTTATATGAACACCAGTCAGGTGGGATAAGGACTGCCCATGCAACCTTATGTAACCTTAATCACCCCTTTTTTTGATACTGGGGGTCAAACTCAGGACCTTGTGCTTGCAAGGCAAGCGTGGTGCCACTGAGCCAAATCTCCAGCCTTAATCACTTTTTGAAAGGTACTGTTTCCAAATGCAATCACATGCCGAGGAACAAGGGGTCAGAACATGCTTTTGGGGGGTATACAACGTATCTCACTGCAGTAAGTGAAGAGTGATGGGGCAGTGGAGCATACTATACGGCCTCAGAGTCCTCCCTCATTGCAGCCTGCCTCCTTCTGACTCTCCAGGATATGTTCTCAGCTGCCAGCTACCTGCCTCTTGGCCTCCCAGCCACCTGGCAGTTCCCTCCTCTCATCCTTGGAATATGGATACAGTTGCAGAAAGGGTTGGAATTCAGCTTCGTTGTTCAGAGATGGCATAGAATAGGATGGGTGAATCTTGAGCCCATCCAAAATCCAAGTATTCAGCATATCCTGGCTAATATTAAAGTTCCTTGGAGTTACTTGTGGTCCATGGATCAGGTAACAGGCTGTATGAGGAAACTGAGCTTTTCTACCTTGAACCCTGAACCCACTTCTCTACCTGTCAGCACTGCTGAAAATTTGCACAGATACAAATGCCCCTTTATGCATTTACAGGTGACAGTGGACTCCACGAAGCTGTTCCATGGACCCCTTGTGATTTATTTGTCCTGCCAATCTTTCCAGCCTCACCCTGCCACCCTCACCCTGCTGCAGTCCTTCTGAATTAGTGCAGCCATCCTCTATATGTATTTCACTCTTCATGCCTGAAGGATTGAATATGCTCCTGTCTGCAATGCAACGACTTTATTACCACTGTAACAAATTACTATATATCTTCAAAGTTAAAACCACACATTCTCTCTTCTCATTGAATCCTGTCTTCTCCCACTTTCCATTACCAAAGATGAAACAAAGAGCTCCGCTAGGTCTCTCTAAATCTCCTTTTATAAGGATCATAACATTAAATTTTGTTTATTTCCTTGTCTGTCTCTTTTACTAGATAATGAGCAATTCTGAAGGGCAAGAACGGTGTTTTAATTATTGCAATTTTCCCAGTGCCTGGTGGAGAGCTGAGCACAGTATCTATAAATGTCAAAAGGTCAAAGGAGGGCTGGGGATTTAGCTCAGTGGTTCCGCTGCCTGCCTTGAAAGTGCAAGGACCTGAGTTTGATCCCCAGTACCAAATAAATAAATAAATAAATAAATAAATAAATAAATAAATAGTCAAAGGAGTGCCTGAAGAAATGACTGAATGCGGTGAAGTATGAGCTTGTGGTGAAGAGCATACATTTTGAGGTCAAATAGTCCTGGGTTTAAATCTTGACTCCATCAATTACTAGTATTGTGATCTTAAGGAAATTATTCTTAAATCCTACATTTTCTAATCTTGAAATGGAGCAAATATAATTTACCACAAGGTAAATGGTCTGTCAACTTATATTAATAAACATCTGTAGCTACATATAACTCAGTCTTGTCACTAGATTTCTGTGAGCTGGAAAGTTATTTTGGAATGCAAGGACAAAATTAAAAGACAAGGAATTTGAGTTCTTAAGGGTTAGTTTAGTGACAACATAATTACACTCATCATGTGCCTGCAAGATGTGAGATATTATGCTGGAACCTGTAGAGAAACAAAATAAAGTGGGCCTAGGGGGAGTTAAAATATATACGTCACGTCACTCTAAAGTAGAAAGGGGCAGATGCCCTAGGAGAGGTATTGAGCTTTGCAGCTGGGCAGTGAGGACAGCCTCCTGGAGGAAGTGGTATCTGAGGTGCACCTTGAGGGAAAGGTAGAAAGCGTTGCTGCCCTAGGGCAATGAAGAAGGAAATCCAGTCAGGTAAAGGCAGGGATACCTAGCAAAGACGTGTGAGCTCTGCTATCCTACTGATGATGTTCCCTGGTGCTCTCGCTTCTGAAATTAAAGATGAGCAAAGCACCTTTTTTAAACAGAACAATGTGCCCTGGTTCTCTGTCTCATGATCCCTTGTTACTCTGACGAGAACAAGAGCCCCTGAAGCTGACAGCAAGTGTGGAGACTGGTCTGGGTGCACCTCTGCCTCTCAGCAGTGGTGGTTCTGTCCCTGTGCTCTGACCAGATGCTGAGGACATGCAGCTCTGCTGCAGTGGTGATGGATTGCTACCCCACGAACGAGAATGTGCAGCTTGCAATGAGGTAGAGACTCAGAAACTACTAGCAACTCTCATCACAGATGGGCAACCTGTCATTTAGAATTCAATTGCCTGTAGATGAGGCATATATAACATATATACATATGCTATGAAGATGGCTTCCAAAATATTTCACTTTATATGTGATAATGAAGCTACTTTAAAAGAATCAGCGACTCCGATGTCTTTTCCAGGAATGACATCTCTTCTGACACCACTAGCTTGCATGTGCTGCATGGCTGCATCTCCTCCCTGCAGAATGGCTGTAATTAAACTAGTAGTTGGGGTGCCAGCCTTCTGTGCTTGGAGATCAACTCCCTCTTTTACTAAGTAGAACTTGGGCATTCCTGTAACCTCCCTGACCTACCTTCCTCATTTGCAAAATGGGACTGGGACCACAATCTGGCTGAGTTGGCACATCTGCATAGTAAATATCTCAGTGCCAGCACACAGCAAGAGCTCTCACTCCAGTTATCAGCCTGATTTGCTCTCTCATTTCATTGTGTTCTTATTCTACTGTGAAGGCATCTCCAACTGCTCTATTTAAAACTGCCCCTCACCAAACATCCATGTCCTGCATTTTGTTGTCGTTTTTGGTCCACAGCACTTTAAAATTATCTCACACATTTCACATTTTATGTATGGGAATATAAGCTCTAGCAAGCTGTATCCCCCGGTGCCTAGAGTCTGGCAAGGAATATGGTCTCAATAAAATACTTGCTGGAAGGGAGAAGGATCGAGCCAAGCCTATTAATTTGAAACTACCCCAGCCCAGTCATATATCTTTGGTGCCCAGTTACAGGACATTTGATTGAACATTGGCACCTGCATCTGTGGGCAGAAGGAGGCCCAGAAATTGAGGAGCCATGTTAGACAGCACGCTGTGGATGGAGGACGCAGACCTTGTTGAACCTGAGTCCAGTGCTGAGGATTTTTAGGAGGCTTCTCCATTCTTTTTCCCTGAGACCAAAGTTGGCCTGAGCAACCTATCCCACAGCAAAGCCAGGGAGAGAGAGAGAGGGAGAGGGGAGGGGAGGGGGAGGGACA